TGTTGCTAGCTCAATCGACCCAGGTCAAACTTTTGTCCAACTCCTTTCAATTCCAATTTTAGGCAGAAATTCCAAATCATGGCAGGAACATAATTCATATTAATATTGAATTTGAGGACGTTAAAGTATTACTAGGATCTTTTAAACGGTACGTTCATGTTGGGATGCGGCTCCCCAGGGAAAAAGGCACTGTGTACTCTGGATACATTTTCATACAATACCAATTCATTAGAGAACACGTTTCTAATAAAACTTACGAACCTACTAGACTAGACATCTAAATTTACTAGAACGTATATGAACTAGTAATAGTTTTTGTTGCGTTCCATGACTGTTTCTTATGGAATATATATATTCAGATGCTTGGATATGGATGGGCTGGAATTTTCCGAAAGTTTCTTGTTGATTCTCCTTATATGTGGTGGCCTAATAACCTGATTCAGGTGTCCCTCTTTAGGTGCTCTCTCTTCCTATCCTCACCCCCACTTTACATTGCAGTTTGTCCATACATTTCTCTATGTATATTTACAATTTCAAACTCATTCATTTTCATTGTAGGGCGTTGCATGACGTTGAGGTTAGGTCTAAAGGAGGCCTAACAAGGCTGCAGTTCTTCCTTGTGGTATTCGTATCAAGTTTCGCATACTCTATTGTTCCCAACTATTTTTTCCCATCTGTTACTGCTCTCTCCTTCGTTTGTTGGGTATGGAAGGACTCCGTCACAGCCCAAATAATTGGTGCTGGTCGCGGTGGTCTTGGCATTGGATCATTTGCCCTGGATTGGTCAACTGTAGCTAGCTTTTTACAATCACCCTTAGCCACCCCTGCATTTGCTGTAATTAACATCATGGTGGGGTTCGTCATAGTAGTTTATATATTACTCCCTATAGCTTACTGGAGTAACTCCTATGAAGCCAGGAGATTTCCCATTATCTCATCGCATGTGTTCACTGATGATGGGGAAAAATATGATGTTTCAAGAGTTTTAAATTACACAACCTTCGAATTCAATCAGCAAGGATACGATGGCTATAGCAAAATAAACTTGAGTGTCTTCTTTGTATATTCTTATGGTCTTAGCTTTGCAACACTGGCTGCTACAATGTCTCATGTCGTAATTTTCCATGGAAGGTACTTACCGCTTACATGTAGTAATCACAAACTATAATGTGCTTTCAGTTTAATATGATACCCTTATTCTCCTCCATAGCTTGACATGGATATCGTAATCCATGTACTTGTCAGTTGATCTAGCATGCTTCAATTTTTATCTTCTACAGGACAATCTGGCAACAAGCGATATCAGCAGTCCAGGATAAGTTTAGCGATGTCCATTATAGATTGATGAAGAAAAACTACGAACCTGTCCCACAATGGTGGTTTTACACACTCTTGACCATTGTAATTGGACTTGCCATGCTTCCTTGTGAAGGCTTTGGCAGACAGTTGCAACTCCCTTACTGGGGAGTCCTTTTGGCAATCGGCTTGGCTTTGTTCTTCACTCTCCCGATTGGTGTGATTATGGCAACCACTAACCAGGTATATTCCTAATCAAGGACTTGTTGACCTGCTAATTAGTTCTATTCACCACATTATGAATTTTTTGTGCAGCAACTAGGACTAAATGTCATTGCTGAGCTGATTATCGGTTACATTTATTCGGGAAAACCGCTTGCAAATGTGGTTTTCAAGACCTATGGTTATATAAGCACGGCACAGGCAATTCTGTTTCTTCAGGACTTCAAACTAGGCCATTACATGAAAATTCCTCCAAAGTCAATGTTTGTTGTTCAGGTAATTTCTTAATTTCGCAGATTTGATACTCACATTAATAGCTAGCTTTACTGCCAGAAAAAGCTAGCTCAAATAATCATGAAATGAAACCCCGATACTGATTTATGTTGTAGCTTTACTAAAGTTGGTAGGAACTGTAATTGCATCTTCCGTCTATTTTGGCACTGCTTGGTGGCTCCTAACAACAGTGAAGCATATCTGCGATCCATCTAAATTGCCAGAAGGAAGCCCATGGACATGCCCTGCAGATGACATATTCTACAATGCCTCCATCATTTGGGGTGTGGTTGGACCACTGCGGATGTTTGGTCGTCTTGGGTTGTACTCTAAGATGAACTACTTCTTCCTTATTGGCATCCTTGCACCATTCCCTGTGTGGGTACTCTCTCGCATTTTTCCTGAGCAAAACTGGATTAAGCTCATTAACATGCCGTTAATTATAGGAGGCTCAGGGGCTTTGCCAGCAGCCAGGGTTGTAAATTACTGGTGCTGGGGTGTTGTAGGCATGTTCTTCAACTTTGTCGTCTATAGGAGATTCAAAGGCTGGTGGGCGCGGCACAACTACATTCTGTCGGCTGGGTTAGATGCTGGGGTAGCTTTCATGGCCATCCTTTGCTATTTCACATTACAAATGAGCGGTATTAATGGACCTAGCTGGTGGGGTGCCCAATTAGATGATCACTGCCCCCTGGCAAGTTGCCCTACTGCTCCTGGCATTGAAGTTGAAGGTTGCCCAGTTTTCCAATACTGACAAGTTGCTCCTTGCAATGGGTTCTTCCGGCTGTAATTGACATAGTGAGTAGTTTATATTAAATACTCTCTCCTAGACAAAGGTACTAAACATGGACCTTAAGTGTGGTCTGATATATGAGATAATAATGTAGGAGCGGATACATTTAGACCTTGTTATCCATGTTGCTTTCAATATTAGTCCTTTCAAAGGCGAGCATATAAATTTTGAATCACAAATTTACATGTATCTCTACACAAAAGGTAAATGGCATTTCGGGCTTTATATGCATGAATCCTTACTGTCAGAGCACCTTTAGAAGTGGGGACAGGATCAAGTTTCAGTGATCTTAGATCAAGAATGTTTCATGGAGAAGAGAAGGAAAGAAGGAAGTTTTCATTTACATACCGAGAAAGGACTTTTATCCAGTGGCAGTGGACATTGAACATGGAGCGTGGAAATTGAAATCTTACTCATAATTTACCATAAAAAGCCTGCACTGTAAATCTTAGAAACTTGTGTTTGGAAATCTTGAAAGCCACTAGTAGCATAGAGCTGATCATACAAGTTAAGTAACATCAATAAAGTTGTTTTGTCACACAAAATCCGTGCTATAAAGCATCTTGTTTTTTAAATGCAACACGGGTCATGGAAAATAAATTGAACTAGGATGCAACTAACAGAGTTTGAGTGTGAGTAAGAACAGTTAAGTTGAGCCAAAAGTTATCTTAGAAATAATATACTAATAAGTTATCAAACAAAATCAATTTCGCAAGCTGCAGAATGAGATCTTCTAAAATGAAATTTGACAGTCGAATACACTGCCGTAAGGGGTAAAACTCTATGTGAAGCCACTCCAGTTTAGGTTACTGGAGTATGTAATCCATGACTTTAACAGTAGAAGATTTTAGGTGAAACTTGATATGCTTAAAGTGATTAAATTCAGACAAATGACTGGAATATATTATAACTCTTATTCTAAGTACTGCAAAACAAGACAGTTGTTTATGTCAATAAGGAGAAACAGAACAGGACATAGGAGAGCAGAAACTGACTTCCATGATAGGCAATGACAGATCTAAATCCACAGCATTACAAATCACATTGATAATATTCTTTATAAAAGAGTTACTAATATCATTTCCGTAGAACATGTAAGAAATATCCTATGAACATAGCCAAGTATGGGCGGAAGGGAATATCATATGAGCATAACTAAGTACGGGAACCTTCCAATTAAAAACATATGACACAGGATCAGTAAGCATATGTATAAGATTAATTCTGAACAAGCCTAGTGTCAAGTTTTGAGCGACTAGCTGAAATTGTTGAACAAATGTAATCCATTCAGCCAACTTCTATCTTACTTAACCAACAACTCTGAAAATGTCCAAAAACTTGACACTCTAATCTAAAGCTTGTTCATGATTGATGTTATATTTACATCTACCGATCCTCTGCTGTATATTTCAAATTGGAAGGCTCCCATATGATATTTCTTACACGTTGTACAAGAATGATATTAGTAACTCTTTTATTAAGAATATTTTCAATGTAATTTATAATGCTGCGGATTTAGATCTGTCATGGAAGTAAGTTTCTAGACCCATATTCTGTACTGTTTCTCCGCATTAATGTAAACAATTGTTTTGTTTTACAGTGTTTTGAATAAGAGCTATAACACATCCGGGTCATCTGTCTAAATTTAACCACCTTAAGCATGTCAAGTTTCACCTAAAACCTTCTGCTCTCGAAATCAGACATTACATACTCCAGTCACCTAAAGTGGAGTTGCTTCACATAAAGTTTTATCCCCTACAACAATGTACCTATAATGCAATGATAATACAGCAACTGCGTTCTTCTTGTTTAAGTGCAAGTTCGAAGGTAATTCGGTTATCAAATTTCATTTTAGAAGATTTAATTCTGCAGCTTATGAAATTAATTTTTTAAGATGACTTATTAGTATATTATTTCAAAGAAAATTTTTATTTACTCAATCCCACGGACCAAATTGATGAAGACTAGTTCAATGATGACTTTTTTGGCCAGACTTTTTATTTACTTGCATATTTCATCCCTTAGCGGTGCCCAGAAGGTCTTATCTTCATGTTATGCTAATAAGAGATTCTCAAGGCAACTAAAATAAGTGATTTTCCATCCTAACAAAGTGTAACCATGCAACAATCTGCTCAATTTCCCCATATATTGGGAATGTTTTTCACATTTCCTTGTAGCAAGCCCAAAAATAATCAGGTCACTCTCCCAACAATTCGAGAATATCAGAAACCTTGCCCGTGTAATAATCTGGCTGAATCCTGTTTGAGGAGTCCTCAAGCTCGGATTGTGTTGTTACTCCTGAAATTTTAGCCGTTGCGCACATCAAGAAATAATACAACACCTTGTCACATCTTACTTAAAAACATGAGATACCAATATACATACCTGAAAGAACAAGCAGAGTTTTGCAGCCAGCATTTTGTCCAAATAAAATATCAGTATCTAGTCTATCGCCCACCATACACATTCTGGATGTGTTTATATGATATCTGCAAAGAAGAACATAGCATAAAAAGATTATCTTAATTATTACAGTAAGGTCAGTGTACATCATTATCAAAATAACTTACTTCTGCAGTAAAAAATCCATCATGAAGGTCGACGGTTTTCCAACTACAACAGGCTCTCTTTCAGTTGACCCACAAATGGCACCAACCATGCAGCCCGCACCTACAAACAATAACTAAGAAAAGAACAAAGCAGAACTCTCAAGCAAGCTTTGCAGATGTGATTTAATTTCTTTACCAGGCCACTCTTGTAGATCAGTCATATGTCCCACAGAATCACGGTTTGTTGCAATAAACAGGCACCCTGGGTTCTCACGGATGCAAAGGGTCCCATACCTGCCAGTTGAATTTATTTTAAAGAAAGCATCAAACAAAATGCAATGCCAATTCTTACCTGTTAACCCATCTAGTAAGAGTTTGTTTAGACCTAGTCTAGGCTTGCAACTAAAGGAAATTATTAGCATTCGCTACTCTTCTAGCCAAACATTTTACCCTAACATCTCCTCAATGTTCCTAAGCCACCAAGCTGTCGCAGTTTAACAATATGCTTGGGTTGATGAGATAGAAGCATATATAGAAAAATTATACCTTTTACAATTAAATATAAATTAAGGAACTAAAGGAACTATGCTGCTGATCAAAGAAAGATAATGTCTTATGACTGTACACGGTTCAGCATTTGCCCAAGGTTGCAATGACATAATAAAGAAATATAGGGAGGTTCCAAGTTATTTTGACTGAGGGCGGCTTTCAAACATAACTGTAATTTTACAGAACATGCTAAAAAGCTTTCCAGAAAACAAAGACAAAGTCAGTAGACATCTGCTTACTACATAATTTTCAAACCTACATTTTCAGTGCACTTGCACAAAATATACCATGTTTGAGGAATTGGCATAGTAGAAGTTTTACAGGCATATGCTCAAAATCAACAAAAGAAGTTGATATTCCGTACTCTTAACATCAAAATGAAGTGAAGATGAAGTTATTAACTCACTGAAGTTTGTAATAGTTAATGCTTGGATCTATTCCAACAACAACTGCTCCAACCTGGGGTTTGAAGTTGAATTGTTAGAAAACTAATGTGGGAAAAAGAACAAATCAAATGCTCAGAGAAATTGCGGGCGAAATGTTACATTACATTTTTATCATGCTCAAAGAAACCACTTGATTTGAATTGAACCCTTTTTTCTCCATCTTCCTGCAATAAATATTTCCTCTCAGCAATTAGAATTCAATTAAGCAAGAGATTGTGATCCAAGACAAACAAACACAGTAGAAGAAAGGGGTAAATTATGGTGAGATACAAACATACACACTACAAGAAAGCAACAGGCAAGGTGAAAGGAGTGCTCCACTATGTCAATTGTATGGTATGTATCTCTCGGATAAAATAAAAGATAGAGAGAGTGAAAATGTTACATTTATGGATATGATAAATGAGGCATGGAAAAGATGAAGAACGTACTGGGCCACCAAGAGCGGTAAATCCAGCAAGCTGCAATTCTTGTAATATACCTTCCCCACCTATGACATAAACCTGAAAACCGAACAAATTCAGAAAACTGTGAAGAAGAAATAAATATAGTAAATTTTGTTGTAAGAGGAGCAAAAGCTGCAATGTAGCAAGTTTTGCGTCCCATTTGGATAGAGGGGAAGCAGAATTAAATAGTAACAGATGATTCAAATGTATAGTAAAGAGCAGCGTAATAAGAAATTACAGTGTTGAAGGAGTGAAAGAAGTAAAAATGAAAAAGTGGGAACCTTCTTGTGAGGAGGAAACTGGTTGACCTTCAAGTACATAGCGGCTGCAAAAGATGACGAAAATATCTCATCCTAGAAAAGAGTCAGACAGAACAGAGCAGGGTTTCTTTTTTTTGGGTTAATATATTGAATGCTGCGAAGAAGACGAAGAAGAAAGAACCTGAGCAACAGAAAGACCGAGAGAACGGAACTTGTCAGCATATTGGCTTCTGGACTTGGAGGAGTTATTGGTGACAAAAACCAGCTTCTTCCCCTTTTAATCAAATCAAATCAAATCTTACTTGTTTAGTAATATTAATCTGAAGGAACCACAAAATTGTTTTCGCATTTCAATAATCAAATTAAAAGAAATGGAAAGCGCAAGGGTGAAAGAGAGAGACCTTGGATCGAAGCATTTCCAGCGTCCGGGGGACTCCATCAATCAGCTTGTCGCCCTTCCAAATGACGCCTGCAATTGGATTGCCTCCTTCCCATTATTAAACTAGTATCAATACAAGCAATCTTAAACATTCAAAAATCATAAAATTGTTTGAGACGAAAAAAAAGAATCAGTTAAACCATCGCAATCGAAGAGAAATGCGTCGACGGAATCCAACAGTGCTTTGACGCTCGCACCAGACAGGAGCTCAGCACCACTGCCTCTGCCTGGACTCTCACCCTTGACTGCTTCCATCCTTGCCACCAACCAAACTACTGACCAAGTGAAGTAGTATTGTTGGCTTTTTCCCCACGCAATGAACACAAACTAAGCCCATCACATCCAACCAAGCCCATTACATTAAGTCCAAGTTGTTGATTGCTTCACACCACACCAAATCCAAGATAACACATTTGATTTGACTTACGTTTTTTCAAAAGTCTGGACTTGCATGTTTTGACTAGTTCTACTACCAGTAGTTTTATTGCTATGGTGTGATGTGTCCAAATGGAAATGGTAAATCAAAGAGAAGAGAGAATTGTTTTATATATTAAAGTCTTGATACATATATATATATATAAATATAAAAGCAGAGATAGTGGATTGAACCTGCACATGTAGTTTGATGCACAATAAACACGCCAAACTTGACAAAGTCAAAGAGTTGATTCTAGTTTCTAAGTCA